AAATCTCAAGGAGGCCAGTTCAATTTGCAGTACCTTTGGAATGTGTCCTCAGTTTCCCTTTTCCCTCAGCCATGACTGCCCTGCTCTCTCATCTGTGTAGCTGTAGTCAGGCATCACTGGTAAAATAACATGATGGAGCAGCGACGTACTGTTGCACACACATTTTCCTCACAGTTCCTTTTGATCCAGACTGCATAGATGCTTTATCTTATGGCCTCTATTGTGTGGCAGCATTTTTGTTGTGGATGCTGTTTTCTTTCTCGTGTTCTTCGCTCAGACAGATGGAATAGTGACCAACTCTGTGCTGATTGTGACTTGTAATACTGAGCTTGCAGTAATTAGCCCATTTTTGCTCTTTCAATTATAAACGTTTTGAGCATTTAGAATCCTTGTAAGTGGACTGATGCAGTGAGCAGCTTCTATCAGAGTGTTTCAGATTAGTGGCAGATGCCCAAAGTTTTTCTTGTGGCATTTGGCAGTTTGAGGAAAGTGGTGTAACTTTCATCATCTACTTTTGCCAAATGGCTCAAATGATTCCAGTTGCCAGGAAGATAAAAATCAGCAGTCTGGAATATTCTTTGATCTATGTTTTTTCTGGATATGGAATGGAACAAATGGAGCGTTATCAACCCTGCTTGAGAGACTCCTGCCTGTTGGTTGCATTTGCTGGGTGGGTTTGTTTTTTTTTAACTTGCTATGTATTTCAAAATTAAATTGCTGGGTTTTTTGGATTCAGTCTGCAGGCAACACATCCTTCATTCTGTTCTCATTGCTGTTCAGAATGAATGTAAATTAAATACAAGTTTAAGTATTTGTATGTGTATCCATTTTTGTATGTAGATAGAAGATACTGTTCCTTCTGGGGAGTAATAATTTTGTCATTCACATTACTTTATTAGTCTTCAACATAATCTTTTTAGTTCTTGTCTAGTTCTAATTTTTTTAAACATTCCTCAATCATGTTTTTTTTAAAAACTGGTCATAGTAAACTTTTATTTCTCTTATTTGCAATGTTTTTTCTTACATCTGTTTAGTGTTTTGCCTAATATGACTAGTGGATGCATCATAGTTGCTATATCCCATGTGTTAGCAATTTTGTCCATAATTGTGGATCCAAGATGGGAGAGAGGCAAGAGTGGTGGGGACTTTTGTTGCTTAGGGGCTTATTTTTTTTTTGTTTGTTTTGTGTGGTGTTTAGTTTTCCCTCTAGTTTTAATGTATGGATCTGATAGACTGGACAACATCCCCTTTCTTTACATGTCCTTCTATTTTAGGTTTCCCTTACATTAGAACCTACTTTAGAACAAAAACCCTATTAATTGTAGCCATTGGGTTGAAACTGACCCAGTAGTTGTCTGATTTTGTTTTTATTTTCTGGGGGAATTAAAATGAGGCTCAGTGATTTATCTACAATTAAAATGTTTAATCTACAATTAAAATGTTTGATTTTTCAAAAACATGGTCAGTTCAAGGAATGTGTTGCCGGTTAATTAAAAAAATAAAACTTTCCTAATTTATTCATTCCCTCTTCTGTCCAAAACAAAGCAGCTAGAGTAGGCAGAATCAGGAACATAGGTAAGAGCAATAGTCTGGGATTCTTTTCCCCTTCATGTAGTACAGCCAAATGCACATCTTCAGAGCTTCCTCTGGACTGTGGGACCCTGACCTTGTTTCATATTTGTCATAGGTGACACACATAGGTGACAGTGTACATATCTCACAAAGAGCTCACTTAGATTGTCTGATGCCATGCTGGTAGACTTGTTTTCAGCATAGTTGTATCCTTGTTATCCTGGGTGATGGCTCAGAAGTGTGAGGAAGCAGTGGCTTACAGCAGCACGTGCTGTCATAGTAGGAGAGCTCATGTATGGGGTAGGGAAAGGGGGACATAGGAAAGGAGGGAAAGTTGGTGTTCAAGTCATTCTGGATGTGTCACCATCACTAAATTATTTAAACTCTGCTATGATCTACCTTGAATTTCTGGTTCTCTGAGCTATTAAAACTTGGCTTTGTCTTAGGAGGGTTTGAAGATGCTCTTTATGGATGGGATGAAGAGCATAGAGGCACCACTTTACACTTGCCCTTGAATTGGGTCAAGTTGGCTGCTGAGTTGTGTCGTGGTGATAAGAGATTTTAATAAATGCTAATTTCTTCCAAAAACACCCCTTTTGATCCTCCTTCTCGTGGCAGAACAATCCAGTAAGCATTTGCCACTGCACATTATAGTGCTTGACTCTTGAAAAAAGTTCCTGGTTTAAGTCTGTGATATTATGTGAGTTCTGTTACAGTGATTGTATTTGTGTGTGGATGTTTTTACATTGTTCTAAAGCTGTCTTATAATGGACCATAATGTATTGTTGTAAACTTACACTGATCTGCGTATGTGAGTTTAATATCACCTCTGTATTTTAAATGGTAAGAGAGTATGCTGACCTGGTCTATAGTACTTCCTCTACCTGGTTCATTTTCTGTCCTGGTTCATGGGCAGAGTCAAGGCTGGATCCACAGGTTAATGATTGTTCTCACTGGGTTGTATTTATCTCCTCACTTGGACTTCTTTTATTTTCTGGGACAGTTCAAAATTCAAAATTTTTATTCAGAATTTAAATTCAAAAGATATTTTATTTTCCTCCATGTTCTCTGCAAGTTCAGGCAGAATGCTTCCTATCAGGTGCACTCAGATCCTGGTGGAGGTATTTTTTGTATCAGTAGCAGCTGCAGTGGCATGATTTAAAAGTGAAGGAAAGCAGAAGGTAATTTGGCATGGAAGGTTTGGGTCTTTTCTTTGGTGATCATTCATCACCCCAGGTCAAACCCCAGAATAGACTGAGGCCTGGATAAAGAAGACAGATGAAATTTTTTTGTTAGTACCTTGGTAAAGCTAAGATTGAATTGAGAGCTTTAACCTGTATTTTTGTGGGTTAAAGCATGCTTTAATGGTTCATATTTCTGCTTTTGCTTTTTTTTTTTTTTTTTTTTAAATAAGGGGGAAATGCAATTCTTAATACTGGTAAAAGTGCCTATAGGTCATGTTAAAAATTACACATATGAGGTAATTTAATTTCTGAAGCAGTGAATAGAACCAATGTGTATGTACATGTTGCTTATGTGTATGCTCTTTATACCATTTGCTTTAATCCTGTTCTTTGGTAATGGCTTGCCAGCCAACAAGAAAGGAGGAAAATCAAACAACTCTGCAATATAAACTGAAAAAATGTGTTGTGTTATAGGGTAATATAGTAACTTTAAAAATTATTAAAAAAAAACAAAACCGAAAACAAACAACAACAACAAACAAAAAAAATGCAAACACCAGAAAACCACAAAAAATGGACTGTGTGAAAATGAACAAAGCTTAAAGTAACGAATGTAAGTGTCTAGCTCTGATAAAGATGGGAATTGCACCTCATATTTTAGGGTTCACGTCTCTGGGAAATGCTGAGCACTTCACAGTGGGATGCAGGAATTCAGGTTCTCTAGGAGTCACATTTTGGGGGAACTGCTGAGAAAGAGAATATCTGAAGAAATAAGGCAGAAGAGTGAGGAGACTGAGAGTAGGTAAGAAGTAGTGAAGTGGAGGAGAAAGCAGACCAAGGACTTAAGCAGTTAAATGTTGCCAGGTTTTGCTGGGTTGATTTGATGTGTTAGTTCCTTGCCCCTTCAGTTGGATGTTATCATCCCTGTGATGTGCCAGGCTTTCCCTGTCCATGTAATGGGTTTGTATAACAAACAGATCTCTGCATCAGGCAGTGATGCACATGGGCTTCTAATGCCCCCATACGAGGGGCAGTTGGTTGTACATCCATCTTCCATGGTCCAAGTGAGATTTGACAGAGATCATAGGCAAGAGACATGAGGGTAGGCAGGGGATTGCCATATGGAAGGAGGAAGATATGTAAGAGAAGTAGTAAGGTGAGTTATGAGAGAGCTTGCTTACAAAGATAACAAAATGGGGACGGTGCTCTATCTTTCATGTTTGTGGAGACAGAATTTTTGAGAGGTGGGAAAGATGTAAACTCGTCAAAGTTTATGGCACTGAACATGTCATCTGGTGTGTTACTGGGAATTCAACGTGATATTTTGATCGAGAAAAAGTCACTAAGAGACAGGGAAGAAGTTCTCTCTTCATGGTTCAACATACAAAATTACAAGAAGAGCTGCTGAAATTTAGTGCAACTTCTTTAGCCTTCTGCTTGTTTTGCGGTCTGCCTGTGAATTCATATTGCTTGGGCTTGGAAGTGTTGTTTAAGAGCTGGAATTTTATCTGTTCAGCCAAATGCAGTGCAAAGGATCTACTGTTGTTGAGGGCTATTGGAAAGACCCTTCAAGAACAACATTGCTCAGTGTGTAGATTTTAAACAGCACCCCAAGGTCTCTGTACCCTTCTCTGTGGAGCTGCTTACATGGAGCATTTGAATGGATTATTTTAAACTTACTCTCTTTCTTTCTTTGCATATAGAACTTGAAACAGTGCAGAACTGTCTTCTGAAAATCCCTCTACTCCCTTTTTTAATGTAACAACTTTTAGGACCTAAGAATTTGCTGTCTTTTCCCTTTTACTCCCCTCTTAGATTTTCTGTCTTTCTACTCTTCATCTCTTGCCTCTTTTCCGTGCTCTAAGAACTTAATATGTCATACCCATGGGCTTTGCCAAATTTACTTCGCATAAGGTGAAATGATATTTTATATTTCCACCAAGCCTATAGAAGACCTACAAACCAGGGGACCAGGGAAGTGCTTTTAGGAGGAGAAGGGGCAAAAAAGTAAGATGAGCAGATGTTTTCATGAGCTTTGGTACATGCAGTTTTCGTGTTCCAGAACTGCCCCTTTGTACAAAAGGTGCAGAAGTTTGTTTGCCCCTTGAAGCATCTTTGAACAGTTTGACATGCCTGCTTCCAGTACCTGCTCTAGCACTTCTCAGGTTATGGTTTCTTCCTGTTACTTAGCTGCTCCAGGATTATACATTACCTGAAGTCTCACTTCTTTCCTTCTCTTGACAGCTGCAAATCAAAAAGAGCCTTTGACTCCTAATTTTAAAGTGAAAGAGGAGCCTAAGGATGAGGAAGCTGCAAGTTCAGCCGTGTCTCAGTCCAGCTATGTGTTCAGCCAAGAATCTGAAGCCTCAGCTCCAAACATCCCTGAGGAGAAACTCAAGCCACAGGAAGCACAGGCAAATGTGATGAGGCAGGACATGTCAGTCAAGGCAGCGTCTGAGCTCCTCATGAAGCTCTCAGGTAGATATTTAATTTAATAATATTGAACTTCTTAACAATTTTTTTTCATGTCTGCTAACAGGGTTACCTTGCAAGGAGGTACGTTTAGCTTTGGTAGCAAGTCAAGGAACAGTTGAAAAGGCCTGTCTGCACAGTTGCACTTACATAAAGCATGTTGGTCTGTCACTATAGTATCTAATTATCTCTGCTCTGTTTTTCAAATTAATGACTATGGAATAAGTCAAAAGAAATGATACCTTAAAGCTTCCGGATGCTGTAATTTTTAAAATGTACAAAACATGTTAATACCAATTTATTCACGTGTCACTTCATTAACATTATAAGAGTGTGTGTCTGTACTGAACTGTACCTGACAGAGCTTTATAAAACATGACTTTTAAAGCCTTTTATTTCTTCTGACAATATCTTGTACTCAAAATGACAAGATACACTGTTAAAAAAATGATATAAACTGAGACAGCTTTCTGCATTTGGTGAGCATACTTGAACTTGCCTACATTGCCTTAGTGATACATCCTACTGCCAGACAAGTAGACAGTGTGCATGTGTACACACAGAGGTAATGTTAAAGCTGGAGGGAGTCAAATAATGTGTGTTCTGCTAATTATGCTTTATGTAACTGTCAGAATCGAGGTTTAAATTTAAGGGAAAGTAAAAGGGTTGAATTATTGCTGCTCGGAACAGGTTAAGTGAATGACAAAAAAGGCTTTGAACTTCTGACAGATCAATGTTTAGGACCAAGACATGACAGTCAGCCTAGCAGTTTGGGTTTGTACTTCCACACCTGAACTGGATCTGTTAGTTTTTAAGTCAGAATTCTCGAAAACTTATTATGCCAAAGTCATGCAAGAAGTGCAAGTGGAAATGCTTACGAGTTTAGTAACTTCTGAGATCCCTGTCAAACCTACCTGAAATTATTTGTCTTGATTAGATCCTGTAAACATTGAATTTGGACTCAAATTTATATCTGAAAGACTCTGACTGACCAGGATTTCCCCAATAAAACATGTAATTAATTCACTCCTGTTCATACCTGCACACTTTAATTTGAAGAATTTGCATCATCGATTTGTAACCCTTTTGTATTAATGGTTCAAAAAATACTTTCCAAGTACAAAAGTTGATCAGAGCAGAAGTTTCCAGACTTTTCACAGACTCCCAAATAGTAAACATTTGGTTATTGGTAAAGTTCACTGTTGCTGCTGGTAACTGGTTTGAGTGTGGTGTTTTGGTAACAAAACTTTGCTAATCTGTGACTCCATTTTACTTGGTGCATATAAATTTAGGTAACTATTTTTATAAAGAAAGAGCTCTGTAACTTAACGTTTTCTTGGCTACTTCAGAGACATAAAGGTTCTGGGTTGTACATCTTGAATTCAGCATTCAGAGGCTGTGTTCAAACAGGTTTATTACTGACTATTATGTTAGAATATTTATGCCTTAAATATCTGTTTGTATGAGTGAAATCTTGCATGTATAAAATATTGATCAAGTCTTCAGTCCCTTCTGTTGGGACCTCCCAGACTTCAAAGGCTGTAGGAAGAAATACACTGCTGTGACATTTCTCTTACAGTCTCTTAGTGACTGAGCAGTTTTTGCTGGCAGTGGGCTTTTTGGTGAATCTATAGGTTAGAAGGTGAAGAATGACTAGGATTTACTGAGTCAGTGTTGCTGCAGTTGGTATTCCTGCATCAGCCAGTGGGTGGGGTTACACCAAGTTTATCACATACAGTTTTCCAATTTCCACTGAATTACCTGAAATACTGAATTACCATATAAGGCAGAAACTATAAAGGAGGTAAATACTAAGATACAATTTAATGTAGGACAATACATTAATACATATATGAAGAAAATCTAAAATGAATAGCCTCTTTAGTGTTTTGGTTTTTGGGGTTATTTAATCTTTATCTGGTCGAATACTCGCAGGTCACTGTTGACTTCTCACCTTATCTTAAGCAATTCTGTAGCCTGGTTTTGGTGATTTAAAACTTAAACAATTAAGCCACTTCTTCATAGAATGCTTTTGGATGGAAAGGACCTTAAAGATCACAGAAATATTTAGGCTGGAAAAGACAACCAAGGTCATCCACTCCAACCATTGACTGATCACCACCTTGTCACCTAAGTGCCATGTCCAGTTGTTTTTTGAACACCTCCAGGGATGGTGACTCCACCTCCTTGGGCAGCCTGTTCCAATGTTTGACAACCCTATCCGTGAAGGAATTCTTCCTGATGTCCAACGTGAACCTCCCCTTTGTTATTTTCACTTTCTACTGTGTAATACTAATTACAGAAACCTGCACCACATACAAAGTCAGCAAGGGATTTCCAGCATAATAGCATTTTGCTTTCTGCATTCCTGATGTATATGCTGCCATTATCCTCTGAGCAAGAGTATTGCTGATTGTTTCAGCCCCAGGGGAGCCTCTTGGGATTTAGGCATAGACCTTGCTCTCTCCTCCATGTAAAAAATATGCTGGTTTATATTTTTCACTGGGAAATCTATTTTCCCAAGATGTGTTGCCAGCTCTTAGCTGTACAGTGTAGTGGAAGGACTTTCTAGCTCTGGATCCTACTTTGGTTTACTGGATACTGTAAAGTAGACTTCAAATCACCAGCGCCTGTAATGGAGGGACTTGTCAGCCACTCAAAGTATTCTAAAGCTAGGAAAAGTTAGAAAAATAAACTTACTTAACTGTAGTAGAACATCAACAGAACATTTGTTAGTTGTAATTGTAGAAGTAGATGTAGAGAAACAAGAAAATCACACACAGTTGTCTATTTTAGTTCTACCACACATGGCTCTCTCAAGCTAAAGGGCTGTTGGGACACTTACAGGCTTCTAGCAACACACAACCAGTGTTTAGTTTCAGGCCCTTACCTCACATATTACTTTGGTGTAGTTGGACATGCTATGCCCTTTTATACCATCTTTTTCTCTCCTGTGTTCCAATGGGATTCAGGTCTTCTACCCCACAGTTCACAGACTTGATACCTTATCACTTGATACCTACTCACACTTCTTCCAAAGGATTATCCAAGCTAAGAAGGCTAATGTCTCTTGAGCAGGTGTAGGCAGAACCCATTTCCACCCAGATAGTCAGAACAAAACTTCCCAATAGCTAAACTACTATTTAAAAGTAAATCAAATGCCCATTTGAAAGAAATGGTATTTGGGGATTAGCAGGCAAAGTTTGAGCCTCAGTGCTGACTTTCAACCTACATTTTACAGAAGAAAATAAAATGACTACTAAATGATATCTATGAGTGTACAAAGGTGAGCTGTGAATTCTGTCTGTTACTAAGTCTTGACTGAGACTAGAGCCAATAGTAAGCAAACAGATTTGAGGAGATAGTGGAGTGGGGCAAATTGCTCTCATCCCTGTTTGGAAGGGTGCCATCCCTGCAAGTTTTTGAATTCCTTATATTAAACATTGCATAAAATCAATTATAAGAAATGAAAATAATATATTTCAGATACATCTGTTTTCTACATTCTTACCAGTTCTCTTTCATGGAAAAGCTAATTTATTTCTTAAAATGTTTAATGAAGTGGTGTACCCAGTGATACCTGGTCAGTTTTATACACTCAGTCTTGTAAATTGAAAGGTAGGTTTCAGAGGATACTGAAATTTAAAATAAATATTTGCATTTACATGCCAGCGTTTGAGCCTAAAAGTTCATTTTCTGTTGAGTTATGCTGCTAATGTGTTTGGGGCATGTATTAGCTTTCAGAAGCATAGAGTGTTTTACCTTCTTGTCCAAAAATGAATGCATAGGTGGAAGTGTATAAAATAGATATTAGGAAGAAATTCTTTACAGAGAGGATAATCAGGCATTGGACTGGGCTGCCCAGGGAAGTGGTGGATTCACTGTCCCTGGAGGTTTTTAAGATGAGACTGGATGTGGCACTGAGTGCCATGGTCTGGTAACCACGGCGGTAGTGGTTCAAGGGTTGGACTTGGTGATCTCAGAGGTCCCTTCCAACCCAGCTGATTCTTTGATTCTGTGAAAATCTATTCCAGGAACTAGCACTTCGTGAATAGTATTTTACCCTCGTACCTTGAACTTGACATTAGGATGTCCCTGTCTTTCCTACAATTTTGTCTGAATTACATTTGCCTTTAGTTCAGATGAATGCATTTCACAAATAGGACATATTTTGCATTTCAGTAGTAACTCGGCTTGTTTTCCTCCTCTCTTTTTTCAGTTGGTCAATTCCCCCTGTATTGCACGTATCCTTGTTATCACTAGCAAATGCATGACCTTTGTGCTATTTAGGATTTTTTGTACTTCAGTCCTCAGGTCACACAGTGCTGCTTGTAGTAGACCAGTACCAACAATATGTCTTAATTTTGGGTTATCAACAGATGCAATTAGTGCATGCTTACTTCATGACCTCAGCACACAAAGTAAAATGTTGCCTACAATTGATTCCAAAAGCATTCTTGATCAACTCCATTTATTATCACCTAATTATATGACAGTTCCTCTTTCAGCACAACTGGTTATTACCAGGGGGGTGGGGTGGGGAGTGTTTGCCTTTTTTTGATTAAGCCATTATCTACTTGAAAGTGTTTATGCTGATTTCCTGTTTCATGCCTTGTAGTTAATTTTTTTGACACTGTATCATATATTTAACTGAAATCACGGGGATTAGAACTTCTATTTCAAAAGAATAAGACAAAGGAAAAAGAATGATAGTACAATTCTATATAAGATGAAGGCCAGAACACCTTAATGCCATGCCCATCCCAAAAAATGACACATGGTGCATTAGGCCACAGTGAGTTGAAGGACTGTCTGAGAAGTATCTGTCAAAACAGCACAGAATTCCAGAGGAACTAAATAACAGTATGACTTTTAAAAGTCTGCTAACCAGGGAGCGCTATCAGAGACAGAGAAAGTAACCTTGCTACATATTTCTTTTCCATAAATTTGGGGTCTGTTAAGGGAAGTGCTCGTGTGGAGTTAGGCTGCTGTCTTTGGAGATGGCC